GTTGTGTGGAGTCCGGGTTGATTCAGTTTATGTCGCAAAAACCCGCAAGGAATTTATAACTTAAGCAGTTAATTATCATGATTCAAATTGGTTCGGTTTAGACTTCAAACTAGTAGCATAACTCAACTAAACAAATCCATTTAGTGACTGATTTGGTTCGTTTTGGTCCTTTCATTTCTTTCAATAAGAAATTGGTCCTATTGCCGAAAGTCCATCCATGAGTTTAGTGAAGTATGCTCCAATCAGCCTAATCAAATCAATCCCCTTATTCACACTATAGCAATTTCACAGTCTTTTAAAAACGAAACAAGAGTTGAAAAATAAAAAAACTATGATGATTTATTTATTTATAGAACTACCTTTCCCGACTCTTGAGCCACCGAAAAAGGTTCAAGATAACTTTAGCACTATTTTAATATTCCCCTTTAAATTTTGGTTCACACTAAGACCTATAAATGGATATGATGATGAAGAGGTTACATATCAAAAGCTTTGTATTCTTTTGAATATAAATGGTATTATAAACTATAAATGGGAGGGGAATTTTCACATACATTATCAAGGTGTTATGATAATTTTGAAATCATTAGTCTACAAGTTAATGTATTTTTTCACTGGACTAGACCCTATTGACAAAACTTTGTATATCTTAATAGGGGAAAAAAAATAGCACAAGAATAATACCTACAAAACACTTTCCACATTGAAAATATTGTGCATCATTAATTTGGGGTGTAGATTTTTCAAAAGAGATATTTATTCAAAAGCCACGCATCATTTATGAAAGATACCAAAGTTTGCGGAAGCCAAATTGGGCATGACAAACACCTTCAACGTCCCATGTTCCTTGATTGGGATGTTTTTTTTGTTCTCTACTATTGGCAATAACTATTAACTTTATATTTCTTGCGGTGGTATAAAAAACAACCAATTTGCTTTTCTTTACCTATTTTTCCTTTTAATAATAAGTGATATCTACTCTTACTCGTTTGGGAGTGATTTTGGATAGGCTAAAAAACACTTATGTGGAGAATCACTTCTTCATATAATCACTTTAAATGATTTTATGGAGAAGCACATGAGAGCAGTTTCTCTCCAAATTCACTTAAAATCACTTAAAGTGATTATATGGAGAAGCACGTGGGAGGTGTTTCTTCCCAGAAGTGATTCTGGCCTATTCAGAATCACTCCCAAACGAACCCAACAAGTCTTTTGCGAGAGATCTTAAGATTAAGTATAAAGCAAATTGCATAACAATAGGAACAAATAAAATTTCCAACATTCCTTTTCGGATACAAGCAATATTACAAAAAAGAGATGAACCACATGATCTCGGATGCAAAGATAACTGCTTAATCTACAAATCCAAACTTTAAGAAAGGGACAAATGCCGACTAGAATAATTTGATGACGAGCTCCCATACGTCGCCTCACTAACTAAATTATTGTATAGATAAGCACTAAGCAAATTGCACATTGGTTTATGTTTGATACATCCATCGAAGCTTGAAGACAATTCCAGATATAATAATAGCACACAGACATTGAGAGGGCAAGGCCATGTGATCACCCCATTTGTCTTCTTCCTCAGTTGTTGTTGTTGTTTAGTTGTTTGTCTGTCACATATCACCCTTGTACTCTTCTCAACAGCCATGCATACAACCTCACCATTTATTTTCTGTTTTATTACTGCCAATAGCCTCACCATTCCATGTAAACTATACATCTTTTCCAGCCAATCGTTGTGTTTTAGAATTATACATTAACGACACGTTTTTGGTGCCCAATATTAAATTAGATTGGATAACTCACTAGATTTAAAGTATATTGAAGGAGGAAATGAATGTCAACTTTCGAATTTTGTCCAAACTGAAGGTAGAAGATTAGATTAGTCGTGCGGGAAACTTATCTCTCCTAATTCTCACAAAATGATAGAATGTTAACACGTTACAACCCATCCACTCAAGTCTCCACCCACGCAATAAAAAATCCATCAATTGTATCTTCATTACATTTATTACCTCATCAACTCTTTTTCTGTCAAAATTAGAAAGAGAAGGGGGTTTTTCTTACACACCGGTGATGTGGAGTTTTGAACCTAAGACCATTGGCTTTTAAATCAAGGCCATTTTCCAATGGGCTAGACATCGATGGCTATTACTTCATCATATTTTATAACGAGATATGTAATTGAATCCAGTTATAATTTATAAGCACCAAACCTGAACTAGCTATGACGAGATATATTTTTCTCAAGTACTTTCTATATCACCAGAGTTTAAAAACCTACAACAACATTGCTTTCACCTCCTAGTCTGGGATTTTGTTTGCTCTTAGAGGACAAAAAAGCGGTAGGTGGATAAGGTGATTTTTTATGCTAAATTTAAGCATGCGACATGTAACTTGTGGTGCATGTAACTTGGCTAGATTTTCAATCACTTTTCAATCACCACCAGAGGGGACAAGAGCCCTGACCTAAAAAACCTAATCGTGCTCCAGACTTTTCCATCGTTCTATCTAGAACTGAATTGCATGGTAGGGCCAGCCAGTACAGAGACCAGGACCCAGAAGTTGAATCTGCTGCTTACATTTCTTCTGTAATTTATTATGCATCAACCTAGTAAATCTTGCCTTCATGAGTTTAATATATGCATCAACCTAGTAAATCTTGCCTTTAATGTGTATAACTTTCTGTCTCCAGATTTTACGCAATGGAAGCTGTTCATGCAATCCATTACTGGTTCCTACTAATAACAATTTCATTATCTGTAAAACAAAATTATCTCTCTGACACCGATCACTGGTGGATATCCAAGCAACATGAATCGGATCTAGGTGTTCATGTGGCTCCTTTTGATGCAAGCAAACAGTTCCAGGCAAATGAAATTTTCGAGGAGAAATCTTGCACGTAACCAGGAATAATATGTATATACAACATTTCTCTTACAATAATCGACGATATCTTGACGAGACCCGTCAAGCGAGAGTTGAAGGTTGTTTATATATAGGCCCGTGATATGGAAGGATTGCTAATAATTGAGATATGAAATGCTGATATTTTAAAATATTTTTCACCTACTATTATAAGCTCAGAATAGACCACTCGACAGCAAATTTATATCTGTAGACGTGGAATATTAATACAACCATATGTTCAGACTGCAATTAAAGTCCTCTTTGCACCATTGCTTGTCCCTAGCAAAGAGGTATGTAACATCACGCACGTATAATGAACATGAAAACACTTTTAAAAAGAGAAGAAAATGTACTAGTGTAGTCAATGCCTCAATGGTGGTTGCCGCTATTGCCAACACAATAAGAGACTATAACAATTTGGGTTGGTATGGAGTGGTAAGCCACCCAATTTTTGATCTAGTCAACTTGGCCGCCTGTAGCAGCCACAACTGACATTTCCCCAACCCCAACCACAATTTAATTGCACCACTTAATAATACTTAGAGGAATATTACCGGGAGGCAGTCTCTCGTGTAGATAATTGATGTACGTGAGTCTCACAATGTAGTAACGGTCTACAATCATTTGTGTGTGTGTGAAGAACTGTATCTAACGTATGTTCATACACATGAAGAGGCAGAAAGATGCATTGCAAATTAACAATTAACAAATAAACAAGAATGAAATAGTGCAAGTTTTTCAAAGTACCATCCAAAACGAAGAGTTGCATAACCAAGAGTTGCACAATAGACTTTATAAATTCCTACAACATCAAGACTCAAATCAAAATTATTATAACTTGGCTTGGTTTCAGCATAAACGCATCATGTGAACACATCATGAAGAGATAAAAACAAATTTTTATGCAGCATATAACAATGATCTGGATCCAGGCAATAAATATAACATCATAATGCAGCTCAATTATAATATTGCAGAAACCTCTAGCACATGAACTAAAATATTCCAGATCCTGACTACCAAGACACTCAAAGACTACCACCTTGTTGGTACACATGTGAGATGCCTCTCTAATCTAGAGTTATCGATTACCTGAATTATGAGGGCCCGTTAAGCTTTCTCCTTGTTCTTGAAAAATTTGCTGGCTGATACTCTCTCTATGTGCACTTTCAACCGACAAAAGAAAAAGGTATTCTTTGAAAAAAGGAAAAAGAAAATTTTGAAAGTTCGTAGGAAAAGAAACGTATTCACAAGCCATCTGTATTTATGAAACATGACATCTCATCCACGAAAAGTTATCAACATGCATGCATACAGAAAGCCTATAGAAGGAGAAAGACTTCATGAAACAGGAATAACACTATTTTGTTATCTCCAGCTAATAATACTATGATACGTGTAATAATTCTCTCCCAAGTAAAGCAACAACCAAACATCAAAGGAAGTCTCTGAAGCTTAATAAACACACACACAGCATTATTGATACGGGATAGCAAACAGTGCTATCCCGTTACAACCAAGTTTTTCTCCTAAAGAAGACAACGAACCAGAAAGCATCACCATCATTTATATTGAGCCAACTCCCAAGAAAAGCAACGCTACCAAACATCAAAGGAAGTCTCTGGAGCTTAACACACACACATACACACTTGTCAAAGGCAAGCACGTGAAATTAGCAATGGACAACACAGAGATCACAGAAACAGAGATCAAAGGAAAAGGACGTACTTTCTTGAGCCCAGTTCATTAGGCCTGGAGGGTTAGCAGCAAGAAGTATACTTAACTTTACCAAACTATTCCCTGCAAAGTGCAAACATCACAAGAAACTCTAATCTCAGGAAGATTAAACTGAGTCTCCTTCATTTTCAAAGATAAAGGGGAGCTTAGCATAGCATCTGAAGCTCATATAAAATTCCATGTTCCATTATTAACAGAATATGAGATTAAAGTAACGGCCACCATGTTGGTAGAATTTCCGGCAGTAAAAGTGCTACTAAAACTTTCATAATCATTTTACACAATTTTTCATAGAGTTTCTTACACGCAAGAAAATTAAATTAAAGAAAAAAAGTAAACAAAGAAAAGAATACAAATAGTACAATCTCTCTTTCCTAAGCCCTGCTGTATGTTTTCTGTTCATTATTTCCAATCCTCCCTCTCCATGCCAAATTGACAATTCCTTTTTGTCACTGTTATTCTTTCGAATTCTTCAGACCATACTACTTGGGGCTATTTGATGCCTCAAAAGTTGTGGTCTTGTAATTCTTAAGCGGAGGCAACAGCTGAGACATCTTTGCTTGATCTATTGTACTTCATGTGGCTCCTAACAAGCTGTCCAGCTGAAATAGCAGACATGAGAGAAAGCTCTCCAGCCAGAACAGAACCAGCTACAACAGTAGCCAACAATCTTGCATTTGCTCCTGGTGACTCTCTGTTGGCACCCTTCACCCCAAGCAGGTTCAAACAAGCTGATTGAGATGCAAGCTGGGTCCCACCTCCAACAGTACCAACCTGGAAAAAATAGCAAACACCAACGTAAGACTTCATTTCTACTAAGAACCAAATATTCGAAACGCTGTAATATAAACATCAAGCTACAATCAATTACCTCAATAGAAGGCATGGTCACAGACACGTGAAGGTCCTTTCCATCATTGATGGGTTCCATCATGGTAATACAGTGAGAACTCTCCACATTCTGAGCTGGATCTTGGCCAGTGGCGATGTAGATTGCAGAAACAATGTTGCTGGCATGTGCATTGAAGCCACCGAGAGCACCAGCCATTGCAGACCCAGTAAGGTTCTTGAGCATGTTAAGCTCACACAGGGCCTCCACATTGGTTTTCAACACCTTCCTCACCACATCACCCTTGATCACAGCTTCACAGACCACTGACTTGCCACGGCCTTCGATCCAGTTCACAGCAGCAGGCTTCTTGTCCGAACAGTAGTTACCAGAAATTCCAATCACATCCATGTCAGCGAAGTCATTCTGGAGAAAATCCAAAACGTTTTGTACACCTTTAGAGACCATGTTCATCCCCATAGCATCACCAGTGCTGCAGGTGAATCTCATGTAAAGGTTCTTCCCAGCAATAGCACACTTAATTGTCTGAAGTCTACCAAATCTGCTTGACCTGAATAACCAAACCCAAAACCCAGTTAATTAACACCCAAAAGAATTAAAAAGCTAAAGGCTTTAGGCTTTAACCAAACAAACCCATCAACGTTATCATCAATATGAGCACAAAAAGTTGAATTACCTGTTGAAAACCGTAGCCAAAGTATCGTAGTTGTTGGGGTCTTCCAAGAAGAACTTCAACTCAGCAGCTCTCTTAGCAGAGTTGAACCTCACACAAGGTGCTCTGGTCATCCCATCTCTCAACAACACACTGCTAGCTCCACCAGACAAGTTGATAGCTTTGCAACCACGGTTGGTACTAGCCACCAAGCAACCTTCAGTGGTAGCCATGGGCACTGAGAACTCTCTACCATCAAGCATAAGAGGCCCAGCAATCCCCACAGGAATCTGAATATACCCAACTGGCATCTCACAGCACTGACCCAAAATCGACTCATAATTGAACCCCTCCAATGGCAAACCACCCAGAGACTTCCCTGTAATCCTCTGCAACGCCTCGCGCCTAATAGCAGCTGCTCTCTTGCAATCTCCGAGCTTTGACTCCAGAGAGTAAGAAGGAATGGTTCCCGACAGAACGGCCTTGATGACGTCCTCATCTTCTTCGGATAATGGCTGGGTCGAGAAATCGGTGGGAGTGGAGATCACTACCTCCTTATCAAATACCTTCTGTGCAACAGCTTTCGGGGAAGCAATAGGGGCAATTTGGGGCATTGAGCAGTCGAGGCCAGCCCCACACGGCACCTTGCGAGCGTCGTCTTTCAAAATCATGCGCTCGTGCTCTTCTTCGTCGTCTTCGGCGGCCCACACGTCGTTGCTGGGCCTGAGAATGAGCGACTGCACGAAATCGATGCCGAAGAAGCCGAGCAAGTAGATGAAGGAGGCGACGAACGCCAGTATGGCGACGATCTCGGAGAGGTTCACGACGTGAAGAGGCGTGGAGGTCCTGATCTTCTCGCGCCAGCGAGTCAAGAGGAAGTAGACGACGGAGAAGAAGAGGGTGAAGAAGACGGCGTTCGTGATGTACAGAGGGAGAGGCAAGGCGTCGGATGCCTTAGCGCCGACCACCACGACGTCGTTTTCGTCCACCACTTTCACCTTCATGGGCCCGGGCCTTCTCCCCTTTCCGGCGGCTGTCTCCATCGTCGATCGCCTTGCGACGTCCATCGGATGTGCTAACGTGGCGGTGATGCTAAAATGCGCCGGCGGCGATCGAGCGGCGGAGAGAGGAGGAGAGGACAGCGAGGACTGAGCTGGGCAAAACTGGAAATTTAAAAAAGATAGAAATGTTTTTTATTTCCTTTTTCTTTTTCCGGGTTTGGTTGGTGGGTTTTTTTTCCGTTTGGTCTGTGTTTGAATGGTGAAGCGAGTGAGTAGGGGGGTATATATAGCACTTGGGTTCGGGAACGCGTGTGAAGCGAGTCGCACGTGCGAGGCAGTGTGATTGGGTCCTAACGGCACGTGTTGAACTTACAACGCATAAATAGTCAAAGTAATACACCTATTGTTGTTGTCCCCTTCTTGGTTCTTTCTTTTATTATTAATTATTTTATTTTTAATTTAAAATTTGAATATTTATTGTTACTTCTGTATTGGTTGGGTTGAATTGGGTTGGCTTGGTTCACTTGGGTGATGATTTTTTTTTGTCTTTATCTGCATCTTTGTTAATTCAATTTTGGGCTCTGGGTTCTAACCCATATGCTCTATGGAAATTAGTATATGATTAGCAGGCTAAATTGTTTTTTGTTAGTTTTAATGCTTTTCTAGGCAATGTAAGTTGAGGTCCAACCTCCATGGTTAAGTTTTAAGTGAGAAATGCTAGAACCGAATACCTTGCGGAATTACTGTCAGCTGTAGATGCATTGCATAATTTATATGTGCCTTTTATTAAGCAAAATATTCACCTTCTATTAAATTTAATTCATGCTAATAAATTTTGGAAACACCAAAAAAAAAAAAAGGAAACAATATCCTATTGGAATTTAAATCTAAATTAGTATCTGGACCAAAAGCTCATTAAGTATTAAACATCCTATATGGTAGAGCAGGAGGCGGCCTTCATTTATGAGTGCTGCTATTTCCGCTTGTGTCTTATTTTCCCACTCACTTTATCCCCATCCATAATAAATTTGAAAAAACAAATTCATATCTTTTCACCTACTATTTTTCCTAAAGTACCATTTAATTATTAATTCAATCAAATTCTCTTTGTTAAGCTTGGCGAGGAAAGTACGTAAAATGGAGACCCAACCAATGCCTAACCCATAAAAATTAAAATGGAAAAGAAAACCATGATCATTGAGATGGGAAGAAAAGCTTGATAATGGAGGAATAGACGACCCCTCTCAGCAAATGAAGAGACCTTGCCTTGCTATTCATTTTCGCTAGGGTTTTTTCTTATCCAACATAATGTGGAATATTTTCTAGGTATTGGATATTATTTTAATGATGTGACATGCTTAGAATAAAAGGCTAGTAGATCCTGGCAAACAAAAAGACAAGTAGAAGATGCAGATCCAAGGTGTTTTTCATAAGTTCTTAGAAGTTATTTTACAAATGGGTAAATCTATCTTTAAAATTTTGAAGATAAGATGGAGAAAATAAAACGGGGGTGAAAATAGCAGCACTCTTATTTATCATCCACTCTTAATTTGTAAAGAAAATCCTTTTTTTTCCTTTTTTTTTCCCTAACATTTCCAGCAACTTGATGCATCTCATTTGTTATATGCATAATAAAAAGTTTTAGAGTTGTTTCACAAAGTTTACCTAAAAAAGTAAAAGTTTCAAAACAATAAAAATTCCAAAAATTATTGCGTTAAGATATTTACCTGGTTTTTCTAGGCTTTTGGTTTTTATGCATGAATTTCTTTGGTCATGTATGGCTATAAGTAGAGGTACACCTTGTGCGCTTGTTGTTGCCGGTGGATTACTCCGTACTTGGATTTAACACTTTATGGTTATTGTGCTTTTGTATTGTATTAACCTTATATGATTATTTGTATTGTATTGACCCCTGACTTATGGATGCAATCTACTTTCTCTATTAAAATTGGAAAATGACACAAAACTTGACAAATTTGACCCAAAAAAAATAAAGAGAAACAAATACTAAAAACTTAAACTCATTAGTAATATGATTTAACCTATGTCTCGATAAAACTTATGAAAGAGTTACAAAATTTAGGAGAAATGAGATTTTTAGGCCAAAATTCATAGGAAAATAAAATTGAAATTTAATGCTAGTTGTGTTTTTCAATAGAAAACAAGTTGGTTTGATTGATGTATTTTAATATACAACTTTTGTATAAAACCCTACAAACGGAAAGAAGAATTAATCTAACTTTACAGAGTCAGATTAATACGGTTTGAAAAGAAAAAGAAAAAACTAGGCAACAACACTCATGACTTTAAATTTCAAAGGACCCATGTGCTTACTAAGTAAGCAAATATGTCAAAGAGAGGATCATTACGCCAATATATATTCAAATAGTTCTTCTTGATTTTATATAAATATTATGAGAGGGATCGGCCAGCCAAAGACGAATAGTTTGAACTAGTGGCATTTACTTATTCTCAAACTCCAAGTCAAACAAACACAAACACGAGATTCGATTTAAATTCATATCAGGGAATAATTAATATATATATATAGTTTTTATTGATGAATTCTTCAAATTAGCTTATTTGAAGGATACCCTTGTAAAACCCACTCCGTATTGTATTTCACTAATCCAAACCGTCTATTTTGTAGATACTCATTCAAAGATCATATCTACAAAAAAAAAATCACTTGAATCCGATTTCATTTGTATGCTGATATATTTTCAAGTATTAGTTCATTAAAGATATATAAATAAGTTGGTGGTGCAATGAGCTTTGTTTGTTGGACTGTGTGGTGCAATGAGTCTCGCGTATACAAAAACCATACACAAAATCGCATTCATTCATTTGATAATGAAATGTGTGATGTGATGACTTAGCTAAAAGTATCAGACGAATTCCACAAAGAGAGAGAGAGAGAGAGAGAGAGATTAGGGTTAGTTACTAGGGCAATGCTGTAGTGGAAGACGATTAATGGAGGATGATGATATATAATTGAATTTTGTAATAAACTTGTTGGAGTTGCATTGCATGCTTTCTCTGTCATATAATTGTTTAGGTGTGAATGCATGAAGTTTATGTTAATTTCTTCCAAAAACTAGTTTTCTTCGTAATTGGCTAGCTATTGGCATGACCCTCCAAGGAAGAAATCAACTCCAATAAATCTATAATTAATACGTGCTAATACCCTACTGGCCTTATAGTACCTGTCTGGTTTCATTTTTTTAATTTAGTTTTCATTATTATTACTAGCCTCTCTGCATGCGCATCCGCGCTTGCGAGAGGCTTTTTAAAAGAAAAAATTAAATATATTTTAGAATTAAAAAAAGATAATGGGTAGTTGCGTTCCATAAAAAGAGGATCCATTATCTGATTTTTCTTTTAATTTTAAATTTTTTTAATATGAAAAAGTGTAAATTTACCATATTATCCGCACTTAATTAATAATTTCAATTCTTAATGTTGGCATTAACTAAGGGCATTTTCTGGTATTTTGAATATTTCACCATTCTCTGCCTTTTGCTTTATATATACTAGCCTCCCCGCAAGCGCTTCCGCGCNNNNTTTAAATTTATTTTAGAATTAAAAAAGATAATGGGTAGTTGTGTTCCATAAAAATAGGATCCATTATCTGAATTTTCTTTTAATTTTAATTCTTTTAATATGAAAAAGTGTGAATGTACCATATTATCCTCATTTAATTAATAATTTCAATTCTTATTGTTTACATAAACCAAGGGCATTTTCTGGTATTTTGAATGTTTCACCATTTTCTGCCTTTTGCTTTATATATTATATATATAGATTATTATTACTGAAGCTAAATGAAAGATTATGCTAATTTAAATTCTTATTATAACTCTAATGGGACGGCCAACGGAGTCTAGTTCAGTGGAAAATGGTCTTCATTTGCAGACTAATTGTCTCAGGTTCGAATCCCCATGACATATTAGTAGTGTTGTGTGTGTGTAAATCCCCCTCCCATTAGTAATGAAGGTTATATATGTGAAGATGGGAGAAGGGAAAAACATTTAAAATTCTTCTCTCATCTCTCTCCTTTTTCCTTCTTCCTCTCAATTCCTGTAATGGGATTATTTTCTCTGTAATTAAGTAAAATATTATTAAGTTAATGAGCCCTTAATCACTTTCTGTTGGGTTAGCTGTTGATGAAAGCAACCAGTCCAGTGCATGCATTACATTTGTAGGCTTTACCAGATTAATTAATGTCAACTCAAAAATTAAAGCTGTGGTCGACTTGTTTTTCATGGTTGGCATGCCTACAAAGTCCAATTAAAAAAGCTACAACATTTATTAATATTAATATATACAAACATAAAAATTATATTTAAAAAATTAAGGAAAAAAAAAAAAGTGTTGGCAATTTGATGAGCAAGTCTTTGGCCTCTTGTTTGTGTGTAGAGATTCGTGATTGGCCGACCCTTGTCTATAGTCTGAAGTGGCTGGCGCCATTTTCTTTTACTAGGACGAAGAAATTCAATGCCACATTAATTAAGTATATCAATCTATTTTTTGTAAGGGGTTAGTTTAGTGACTTGGTGCCTAGTACGTACTCTTACATCATTGTAGTCAATATCTAGGACTTGGTTATAAAATATTGCCTTTTGTTTTATTTCTTTAGTATTTGCACAAAAATGTATGTATAAATCATATACGAAAGTTGGATCGATGTGCTACATTCACAATTTAATCAGGCGAGCTTGGCATGAAAAGGACGAGAGCTGAACTATGAAAGTTGGATCGATCATCAATGTGCTACATTCACAATTTAATCAGTGAGTTTGACATGAAAAGGACGAGAGCCTAACTATAAAAGTTGGATCGATGTGTTACATTCACAACTTAATCAGGCGAACTTGATGTGAAACGGACGAGAGTCGAACTCTGAACTCTAAATTTTAATTGTGAATGTAAGTGTGAACAACCTTTTGTTTTATTTCTTTAATTCTTGAACAAAAAATGTGTTTACAAATCATATACAGAAGTTGCATGTGGTCACACACACAACTTAATCAAGCAAAATTGACATGAAAATGACGAGAGTCGAATTCTTAACTCTGAACTCTAATCGTGAATGTAAACATGAACGATAACAATTGCTTTATTAAGTGACAAAAACAAACACGTTTATGAACTCGCCTTGTCATTTCAAATGTCAACGTAAATGCAAGCCAATGTAGGTGAGAGGAAGCGAAGAGGGTTGCAAGCAATTGGGTGTTTTTGTCCATAGTTTGAGATACAAACAATTAAGCTTGGCAACCGTATTTGTTCAATCATGCAGGTTCGATAGTGACAAAACTGCCTCCTAAAGTGGACTTACAATTGGAGGATTAAGACCGCCATCCGGTGAAGTTTGCAGGTTCAATTTTTCCTTGTAAAGAATTTTGTCTCATTACAACAGGAATTGATGGCAATGAAAATATGGAATATAATACATATATTATCTTGCAATATTTATATTGGTCCTATCCCATTTCAAGAAAAAAAAAAGATAAAAAAAAGATAAACATTGAAATATTTAATATTTTTTTCCATGGTTTGCTATGATTCATTAGAGTAGAGCTGGCCTTTTTCTTAGAAAGTGGGCTTCAAATTTTTTTTTTTTTGGGTAAAGAGTCCAGTATTATTATTATTATTATTTTAAAGAAAAACCCAATACCTTGGTGATATTCTTTTGTTTTTATTTTTTATTTTTATGTAAGTGATATTCAGGGCGGTGGAAATCGAACTTAGACCTCGGATGCATGAATAAATGTTCCTAACCACTTAAGCTATAATCCTCTTACATCTATTCTTTTGTTAATTGAAAAAAAAAAAAAAAAACATGCATGAACTAAAATTTTGAAAAGTATTCGATTATTTTTTTGACCACGTTATTCACACTCGTTCAACTATAGTTTATATCCCTAAATTAAACCTAGTGACCTCATTGAGATTGAGTTGCTACATAAAACGTGCAAATATCAAATGGAAAAATGAATCGATCAGCATCGGTTGAAGGAAGATTACAATGAAATAGCCAAATCAACCCACTAATATTATATTTTGACCCACTAGACTGACTCAACATTTTAAAATTTGTTCATATGCGCCATTTGAAAACTTCAAATTGTATTATTTATTTGGTTCAATTTTCACCTTCCATATTAAAATCTTTGATGATTGATTAGAACCCAACATCTATCATAAGGAAAACAAAACAAAAACCTACTTAAAATTTTAAAAATAAAATAAAATAAAAACAGTGTGTTTAAATATAGTTTAAGATTTGATCGACCCGCTCGCTTTTTAATGAAAATTTAATAAGTTTTGTTCAAAAAAATTTAGAAATGAGAAACCAAACATAGGACATCTTCTAACATTGTTGAAGAAGTCAAAGGAGTCTAGCTTAGTTAAAAAGGGTATTGACTTGCAAAATAATGGTATCAGATTCGAACCCTCATGACACCTTAGTAGTAGCGTATGTGTGAAAAATCTTCATCCTTTTGTATTAAAAAAAACACTGTTGAAGAAAAATTCCAATAACCAAGTGGCTAGTTGGTAAATATAATAAGTTTTAAGCCATTAATTTTAAATTGATTTTTGAGTCATGAATTATTGTTCAAGGTTAGCATTGTCAATGTGCCAATATTTGTAACCGAAACAAAAAGGCAAAATAATATTCAGCATTTCAACGTGACAAACTTTTGTAGTTATCAAATCACCCGATTAAAGTATATTATTGCTCTGGACTGTTTAATTTTTCAAACCTTTTTATTTTATATTTTTACAATCTTATAGTCAAATATGTTAGTTACAGTCAAACAAGTAAAACAAAAGGAAGAATAGTATTATTTGTACTGAAAATAAAGTGAAAGTGCCATGTATGTATTGTCTCACCAACAACAATAAATAATGAGTCATAAACAAGTAAAAGAAGAAATTGCTGGGAACAAACAGAAATGAGGAGCCTTGCAAAAGTTGACAAGAGAAGATTATCTTCATTAATTATTATGATGGAACCATGCAATTCGTTGAGTTGATTTCCTTCTATGCTTTTCTTACAAGCATATAGCATAGTGACTTTATTATTGGGGCAGGAATTTTGAATCAAGTGATTAAGAGCATTTACTCCTGCATTCGAGGTCCTAAGTTCGATTTCCCCTCCCACAATATCTGTTTCCCAGTCCCATGTCCCACAATATCGCTTGTACAAAAAATGATTTCTTCTTGGGATTGTACCTTTGAAAGAAATTGCCTCTGCATAATAAGTACTCTTTTTTCTGTTCGATTTCTCTCAAGAAATTGTACACCAGATAGTTGTAGATATATGAATTAAAAGAAAATAAATCACTTAAATACTAGAGCACCTAAATTGTGTAATGAAAATAAAATAAAATAAAATAAAGCATAGACCAAAGATATAGTTCTAAGTTGTATAGAGATATTATTAACACATTGGATCATACATTCTTCAAGAGGTGGGAAAGGAAAATCCAGCCTTGGTATATAAACTACAAAAAATTATAGAAAATGATGATATTTATGGCTCTGTGCTCTCCAGTCTGCTAGAGAAGAAGAAAATTGTGATTTGATGATGGCATGTGCGAAGAAGTATTATCACCGAAAAAAAATAGAAGAGTCATTCATTCCATTACAATTGGGCCTATACATGATTGGAATATGTTGCTTAAAACAAGCTGAACTTCACCTGATGTGTGCTCACTCCCCACAAGATCTACCAACAAAGGAAATAACCGGCATGCGTGCCTTCTAAATGAAACCCTTTCCAAACCAGACAATACCTGCAACGCCGACACGGCTAAGTAGGTTCGGGTAGCCAATTCTTCCTTCTTTGCGGTACCCAAAGGAAGAAACCAGTGCAGAATAGGCTGATCAGTTGGCTTGTGCTCGAAAGATCGAGGCTCTGTACACTTTAGGTATATCTGCAATATTTTTTCACACACTGCCACAAGTTGAACTTCTATGTTCATATCCTCGGACATAGACGGATTATCCATGAGCGCGTTTTGGAGGAAGCTCAAATAATTCTTATAAGAGTCGTTCTCGAAATGAACCAAAGGTGGGGCAGTGAGTTCCAGGACAGAACAGACTTTTTGCAGCTTCTTCTGCAGAATTGTCTCCGAGTTCAGTTGGTGAGCATGGGATGCAACAAGGGAAAATATTTCAAGGAGGATTCCAATGTTGGCGGCTGACAAGGATTCGTGGTTTATTTTGTATAAATCAGTAGCAACCTGGAAAGAGAGAAACGAAAGTGAAGAAAATGAAAATGCTGCATTTCACACAATCAAGACATGCAAGAAATTAAGCAAACACCAGAACATCTATGTATGGGGTAAGGGGAGTAAGAACTGCATACATTACATATGCATGTATGCATGCAAAGAATGAAAGGGGAGGAAGAAAACCTGTATGATGAGTAGCTGCATAGCAATATGACTCTTCATTCTGGAAACCAAATATGCTGCTGTTTGCAGGTTATCATCCTCAAGATCATCATTTGTAAACCCCTCGTCAGACGCCAAATCTATATCACTATAAGATCGAGAAAGACCGGGAACATTGATGTCATCCATGGTTCTCAACACCTTCATAAATCCAGGCACTGCGGATGTGGCTGCTTCTTTCAGAGCCAGAAAAATCTGTCTCCATTCGTCTTCCGAAAGTCTGTTTCCCACTTCCCCAGCCAAACGCACTAATGAAGCAACCCCCGTGCTAGCAGGACCCTGAACAGGACTTCTGATGAGCCCTGTCAGAATGGACACCACACCTGGTAGTTGAGCCCTCACTATGTCAAAAAAGCTGACAAATAGATCTATGAGACAGTCTGCTGCAACTGCAGAAGTTTCAGAATCCCATGTACTTCCCTCAGGGCGTGGAGATACTGAAACTGGCGAAGACGGGTCATTTTTCATATTTGTATCTCTAAATATGGGGTAAACAACGGAATTGAAAATTGCAGTCCAGAACGAGTGTGAGAAAAGATGACCATGATCCTTTAGAATGTTAAAAAGAACTTCCAAAGAACCCTTCCGGATAGCTGATCTAGGATCTGATGTCAGCTTTGACAAACCTGTGATGACAACATAAAATTTTTGTTATGAAAGAAAAGGCTGAAGAGCAACATGAGTCTTTCTCCAAAGATATAAAAAGACAAGTATAATGGAAAATATTCAATATCAAGGGTCTGAGCAGGGGTTGCAGTATATTTTTGGGTTAATATCTTTTCAAGTGATAGATGAGGGGAAAATAAAACCTAATACCCAAAATGGATTTAATTGGATGTTTATATCTAGAAAACTCATGCATTTTCTGCTTGGGGTATAGGTGAAGATTAAGTGGTAAAGCAGGTTGCCTGTAGTTGTGCCATCCACAATGCACAATGCTAAGAAGTTGTAACACTTGCTCGGAAGCTAGCTTTAAAATCATGTTACCTGTTAGCAATGGAACCCAAAAGGATGCATGCTCATCTTTCTCGTTGAAAGTCGCTACATCTGAGCCATCCTCATTTACATTTGGAATGGACGACACATTGACCTCACTCCTCTTATTGTAAACAAGGCCTCCTTCTGCAAGTTTGACAGCACAGAACCGGAGAAATGCAATGGCATTGAGGCTAACATCACTATTGAATCTGCTATTGGTGAAGGTTAAGAGGCATTTAACACAATCAGTAAAAGTCAACGTCTCTGTCTCTGTTATATAAGGGAAATATTCTCTGACGATTTTTTCCATGGTCTCAAAGGCCAACAAGACAATATTTTTCCGCTCATCAGCTGCAGCAGCCGTGAAGACCTGATGAAAGAACAGCATGACATGAGAGACAAAGCATCTACACAAACCAAGCCTTAGTACACCATGGTAAATGCATGAAGATCATTTTCAAATCGCAAGATAAAATTTATAATCCGTGGACAACACATGCCCAAGCCTACTTTGAGATGATACAAATGATAACACACAAAATATTTTTACGTGTCGCTGCCTGAATTTATCCTTGAAAACTTCCATAGCGGCTATAGTTCAATTTGGATCACAAATCTTCAAAAATTCAACTAATCTCACACTAGCGGCTATATTTTCCCTAAATAGCCTAATTTAAGGAAACACTCTATTACCACCTCATTCCCACTACCAAAAATGTAACATTAAAGCATTCAATTTATAACACAAGAAACCAAATTATGAAACTTTAACATACCAGAAAAACACTTTTCCACCCCGATTTCACATGATTGACACGGCTGAGGACCATTTGTGAAATGCACCGAACTATTAATTCCTTAATTTCTGTAGAACCACTTTTTTGCATAACAATCACAAATGGTCTCAAAAATTCATTCTGGAAGTTGTAATTTGCCAGTTCTTCACGCTCTAAGAATTTCATAGCAAGCTGACGCAATGAATCCATCACAAATATTGCAACTGAGAGATTCTCGGACAAGCCAACTGATACAAAGAAATCTGAGAGAACATTCCATATGCGAGACCACACTAATCTGATGCGGTTCATATTGTAATGCCTGCAAAAAGAAAATGTATTCTTTAATCATAAAATCCATCCCACCTCTCATTTCTGTTCAGATGAAGTTGCATGGTTCATTTTCACAATAAATTTATCATGAATCCAGAGAGGAAGACAGAGATAAAAAGCAAAGAATGTTTCATATATGCTAAAAAAATCACATGGAGAGGAAGTACCACATGGTTTAAATTCAAAAAAAAGATCACACGGGCTTTCTGCAAGTATGCCATTTGAGAGCTAGAACATTTTAATTTTTTTATGCATAAGATCTCAAATATAATATAAATTATGCTGTCATTATGCTCATGCAACAGAATCCCATAAAGAAAGGAGAAAAGACTCTTACGCTATTTCAACTAATTTTGTGAGGCTGAACACACGAGGGTCCGTTTGAGATTGCAACTCTGACATGGAAACTTTGCATAAAGCCTTCACAAAAGCCACTATCGCTTCACTGTTCAATCTTTGGCTATGAGCAAACACATGATTCAACTCAAAATTCCCAATCTGATCCAGCAAATTCAAGTTTGAAATAAAGTTATTTATCTGTTCTGGAGTTACCAGTCCAGAAGTATTGACTCCTACACTAGTACTGTCATATGAACCCCCACGAACAACAGCCATTACAGCTGGATTCTGGAGAGTTCCTTTTTTCTTCAGAGAAGAAAATCCAATAGGCTTTGATGTTTTCTCCTCAGTTTCAACATTTGATCCAGTCAAATAGGACGCATCAGTTGGTGCACCTTCTCCCAACAGTTGCAGATGCTCAATTCGGGAAAGGCAAGTTAGTATGTGTTCCCATGCTTCCTGAAGATGATTACCATCTTCAATGGCGATTGATATTATTGCCTGCAAACAGTAAATGTATGGGTAAAACTGATTAAAAAAAAACATTGCAAGGAAACTTACGAAGTGCACATGTAATATGCATAGAAAGTAATAAATAAATGTTCAGTGCTTTACTTTCCCCAGAGTAATCCTAAGCACTTATGATTTCTTCTATACTATTTATTATACGACAAGGGTTGGAAAAAAAAATTGAAATGCAAATTGATCCAACTTGCTCCATCATTACAGTACATAGATGCATACTTAAATGTTCTTTCTATGGCGAAAACAAGTTCCCTTTTGATTAAGATATACTGAACAGGCACAAACCTTCACAGCATCGACATTTTTTTGCTTCATATCTGCAGCATTATGCAGATAAGTAAACTTTGCCACTGAAGTGACAAATGCATCTCTCTGGGTCTGCATTCCCATCAAAGAAGTAACATGAATGGCATGCCGAAAACCTTGTAAGCATTGAGAAGTAGCAAGCCTGTCATCACTTTGGTCAAGAGTCACACTAAATGCTGCCAGCATAGGACCCCAGCAGACTTCCACCATAAACCTCAATATTGCCACATCTGTCACAGCATGATAGACAGACCTGCAGCACCAAGTAAACATGAATTCCCAAATGTTACTAGACTCTGAATAGGACAACGACGAGCAACCAGATCCCACATTGATCAGATTAAATGATCTTAATTCCCAAATCAACTCATACCAACGAAAAAATGTCCTAGCCCTAATTGGGGTTTAATACCTTAATTCTTCTGTCATAAACGAAAGATGTTGATAAGATGTAACTATGTTAATACTGGCTTTCAACCTACTACAACAGTCTTCCTCTGGCATGACTTAGAACTGGTTCTTTAAAAGTACGAGACTAAGTATGATACAAGCAGAGTTCAGTTTTCAACCCGACATGCTCAATCATCCATCATTCTTGTGTATTATCAAAACACAATCCCAGTAATCACAATATTTGGCAATAAAGAAAGCACAAAGGAAGGTATTTCTACACAGTCAAAACAAGTGTCAAAAGATATTCAAGCGGAATAGTATACGCCTTAAACCACTACCAAGCTTCCCACTTTTCCATGCTCCATCAGTTTAGTCATAGGTAAAATAACTTGCAAACAATTTTCAAATCCAGAAATAAACTTAGCTCTATCTTGTATCTAATTTTAGCTTACTCTGATTTTCCAGACTTTGCTTTAAATTGCTCTTGAATGTGCCTTATAAGAAGCCCATTTGCACCCAAAGCTTTTTCTTCAGTCTGCTTTCCAGTTACTAAATTCAGGATACCATCCAAGCCCAATAATTTGTTAAAGCTGTTTTCCTGCTTGCTCTGTGGTACAGTAGTGTCAGCGCTCATCTTAATTTCATTTTTAACAATTTGATCATATAGGACACCAAGATACTCCTCAGGTAGATCCTTGCCATCATCTATTCCTCGGTTGTTCCGGATGAAGTCAGCCTTGGTCATCTGGATAAACAACCAATGCAGAATATATGTCAGTAGACAGAAAATATGCAACCTATAGCTTCTGAAAGGCGCTAAATTGCCAATTGATGTGTATAACAAATCAAATATGACAAGAAATTTTAATCAATTTTATTTACACAGTTAAAAATAAAAAAAAATTAAAATGAAATTAATGACGTTCCATTAAAGAACTGATTTGAGCCCCTGGAATTAAACCATCTTCTGTATGACGCCAAAGGTTGCCATCCTGTATTTAGCCAAACCATATCTTGGGGAAAAAATAAATAAGACACCCAGGAGAAAAAGTCAAAAACCCGAAAATATTTACTTCAAATATCAACGGCAAAAGCAAGGCTCAAAACTTATAACTGTTTGACATAAAACAAAAGGGAACGTGTTATGCAAGCAAACCTTATCTTTCACCATGTTATTATGGGCGTCTGTATTGAGCATTATCACAGAGTATGCGAGGACATATGCAGTATCTGCACTAGTAAATGAATTTGGACTGCATTTACAATAGCGCTCAGCAAACTTCTCCATGATGCGGTCAATTTTCTGTGCTTCTCCAGGTAACCTGAAGCCCCGGAGGAAAAACCTTATTGCTTCGCCGAAATCCATCCCTTTGAAATTAAAGGAATCCACATAAGCATGCATAACTTTTAGAGGAAATTCCTCCCTTTCACCCAAATAGTCACCAATCATGGTTTCATTTAGGCCAGCAGTGTTGTTCCTCAGGAAAGAAGCCACATCTTCTGGAGAACTACCAATCTTTTTGGTGCTTATAAGAAATTCAATGCCCTTGGAAGGCTTTCTATTAAACAGCGAGATACCTTTCTGCATTCAAACAATAAAACTTTTACTACCCATGCTTATTCTTGGTAAGGCAAGAGTCCAAAAAAAAATATACTGAAGAAATAGAAGGGGAAAAGGGAGGGGAAGTGATTTAGCCAAAAAAACTCAAGCGATGGGACAAACTACCATGAAACTCATACTGCATTTCTAAATGAGTGGATACTTTATGTTGCTATACAAGAAAAGCAGAGCTCAACCTGAAGTTCAATTTTATAAGTTCGACGTTGCTCGAGAGTTGCAGCATCTGAAACTTCAGGATTTCCTTCTGGGTGTAATTCATTATCAAAAGCAGCTCCTTCTTCACCAATTGGGGTCAATTGATTCTCCATTTTCTCAGCTGAAGTGTCGCTCTCATTGGTCTTTGGTAGATAGGAGTCTCCCAGACTCAGCTGTTGGTCCATCCAAGCTCCCATTGAATTAATGATGCTAACCAAGCACTTTACTGATTCATGCCGGAAAGTGATATCCTGCACTGGAGACAGTGTTGTTGTTGAACCAGAGGGTGGTCCTAGAGCTGTTTTCAGAAGACCATTGACAATCCTGCAAATATCTGATGGAATTATAAGGGTTTTAATACATTTTACAAAAACACAATGCTTAAAAGGGAATGAAAATAAAAGGTTAAAAATGCATGTGTGCTGTGGGTGTTACAGAGAGAGAGAGAGAGAGAGAGAGAGAGAGAGGGAGGTTTAAGTACTAAGCTCTGTTATATTAAGTACAAATAGCCCCAAAGCAGAAAAAACTGGGTTTAAGCTAAGACCTTTGGCAAAACCAACCACCCAAATTGTCTTAATGTAAAAGAACGTAGTCCTATTTTCCAAACGTCTACATGGGACAGAAGAATCTATAGTCTAATTTAAATTAAGAAAGGGATCCAGATGAGCTTTATACATGGTTGGCTACAATTGGTTCTAAAATATTAAAACAGTTTCCCTACCCCCACCCCCAAAAAAAAATTGTATCATGTACAGGAAAAATAGATTAAAAGGAAAAAAAACAATTGAAGTTCATAGACAATATTGCTAAATTCATCTTATGGTTTTAATCCTAATTTGGTTGAAAAAGAATATACAGTAATTGGGAAATTTCCAAGTCGTAGCTCTGAATCTTAGCTAAGAAAGAACCTAAAGAGATTTTTTTTTTAAAGTAAAGAGACTGATTGGAAGACAATTTTCCTCTCCTTTAGCTACATACACTCAACCTTTTCCTACACACACACTCAACCTTTTCCTACACTCTAATCTCTAATAAAGGTATTGAAGATATTTAATAGCTTCATAGGGCAGAAGTGCTCGTCCAGCCAGTTTCATTAGTAACAAAAGCACCCAAATTATACAACCTTAAAGTTCGAGATAAATGTTGTTATCTCCTAGGTAGAATTCAAGCTTAAGATTTTTTGTTCAGATATTGTTAAAACTATGTGAGCTTCAAACTTGAAGGAAAACTAAAACATGCTCGCTATCCCAAAACAGAAAATAAAGAATTGCCCAGAGAAAATGCTAGTTCTGATGGAATCAGAGGCACAGAAAGCAACAATGTAACAGACAAGTGCAATACCTTTCAAAGATGTTTGGGGCATCCACATCACAGTCATAGTTGACAAAAATGTCAATGATAATCTGTGAATCCTGAGAGATCTTCTCCAATAAATTGAGGACTGTCATTTTTTGCAAGAAGCTAGGCTGCAGAACATTCTCAAGCACGCGTAAGACGAGCATTGGAAAAAATATACCAATTTCAGCTTTCAACCCTGATCTGAATTTTGATAACAAGCTCGTGAAAATAGAACACTGAAGCTGGAAAATGGCCATGACTGACAACGCACTGTTTTTTAAGAGTGATAAGCAGAGGAACTGCTTGATAGCATTGAGAAACCTGTGCCACAAGAAAATGAAAAGTATTGGCATTCTCAGAAGTGATGCATCAACTTTGGTGCAAAAGAAAGCCTACTTTAATAACAACAATATATCAACAGTGTAACAAGAAAAAAACTGCGTCTCAGATTAAAAGTCCTTAACAAGAAGAAAAAGACACTTAGTGCAGCATTCATGATTGTTTAAGCGCCTGCATTTAAACTGCCCTAGTATATAAAGTCGTTAAACATCATTTGGTCACTAATTTAAACTACCCTGACAGTCGCTAGAAATATGCCAAAGAGCAAAATGACAGAAACAGAAACAACAAACATATGCTCTACTAAGATTTCAAAGTAAAAGTAACACTAATCATAAGCAAGTGGCTACGATTAGCATACAATCACTTGCCTCTCATTGTTGCGCCAAAATGGACCCCCATTGTCCAAGATCACCTTCAAAAGCTCCAATGACAATACTTTACCCCTCAAGAGAATCTGATCATCAGAGTGCTCCTGTGATGAGAATTTCATCGATAATTTGCACAAATTCTTAAACAAAAGATACCCATCATTCCTAATCTTACTAGCGCCATCACCCGATTCAGCTCCATCAGCATTCGAATCTCCGTCACCGCGTCCACCGGCATTGCCATTTTGCAATTTCAGCTCCCTAGACGCCACCGTTTTGTTACTATCCGGACCACCATAGTTCGCGTCCATAACCTCATTGACGAAATTCTGGCAGAACAAAATGGAGCTCCCTTCGTTCAAATTCTTATCGGTGAATTCCAACAATTCATTAACCGAAACCCTAGAAATGCTAACATTCAAAGAATCCTCCTCCACTCTGGTGAAAACAATCACCATAATCTGAGCCAAAACCGACTTGGCACAGATCTGATTGGTCCCATTCAATCCCCCAAGGTACACATTGTAACAAGTCCTCACAATATTCACCAAACAATCGCCCCGGATCAAAACCCGCGGCGATCTCACAGCGGCGAGCAGAGTCCGGAGCACGCCGAGCTCGATCGGCTCCTCGCCGAGCCCAGCGCACTTACACAGCGACTCGACGAGCTTAAAGAGAACAAATTTCTGATCGGAAGCGTCGATCTCGCCGCGGAAGAGGCCGACGGAGAAGAGCTTGAAGGCGCAGTCGACCGCGGGCTCGACGACCTTGGGGTAGGCTGAGTCGAGGGCGAGGAGGATGGGGCCGAGGACGAAGTCTGAGTCGGCGAGGGAGAGGCCTGAGATCGGCGATTTGGGGTCGACGATGGACGAGTCGGAGACCGAGTCGAGCTTGTCGAGCGCGGACTTGCAGGCGGCGACCAAATGCGAGTGCTTGCGCCACGCAGCATTTTTTACGATCTTGTCGAGCGACGGGCCCAGGAGGCGGCCTGCGCGGGAAGGGCCGCCTAGGGTTTGGGAAGCGGACATTAATTTGGGATCTCGACGGTGATCGGCGAGTTACGCATTCGCGGTGACGATGGGATCTCTCATTTCGTTTCAGTGAGAGATTAGAGATGGGAGAGAGTGGTGAGATGAAAACAATAATTTTTTTTGTAATTTAATATTTATAGTTTTATATGTGACTTTGTCATCAGCTGTTGGTATGGTTTGGTTAGTTGTTGCCTGAGGACTTATGTGCGCCGACGATTGCGTTCTTATCGGAAAATTCTTATGCCACTTACGTTACGTTGGTCTCTCTGTCTTTGTGTTTGTGTTTGTGTTTGTTAGCATATTAAAGTAAACCAATCCACTAATCCTTGATTACATCATTTGGATTATGGTTATATTTCTTGAATATTTTTTTCAGTGTCTGAATTTTTTCATTTGCTTTTTGTACCTTTTATTTTAAAAAATTCTTCATTTTTTTATGTGTTCATGTATTTTTCGATATTGAGGGTTTCAAAATACCTTTTAAAAGGATCACATATAAATTATGCACAATTTTTAGGAAGGAAAAATTGACCGAGTTAAGCTATATGTGACACGTTACAACGAAATCTTAAGTGAGGTGGAAAATTGATGCAATTTTTTTATGCGGGTGACAAATTGCAACAATGCATTTCATATGTTATTAGTCTAAATTAGCGATCTTAAATTGTTACACGTCTTGTTTTAAAGTTTGCAATTACCTTTACAACTTTCTAAAGCAACCCACAACTACATTTGTAAATAAAAAAAACATGATTCTAGCACTCCGAAAATTACTCTCCATACTCTTCCACCTTTCTTCACTCAGGAGAATTTGCATAAGGTTGTATATAGAATTTAAAAGTCATCACCCTTGGAAGAACCCTCAACAAGCAGGATTTTGTTCATATGGTCACTCATGGTGTTGTGGACTTGCATCCCCTATTTAGCTTAATTAATGATTGTAAAGAGCTTGTCGATCGAAAATGGTTATGTTGCTTATTTCAAGTTTGAATCCCCACAGTATCACAGTTGTGTGTGTGTGTGAAAAATTCTCCTCCTCTTAGTTTAAACTATCGCTTGTACTAAAACAAAAAAGATCAGATGTCAACTCGAAATGTTCTTTATTAGGTTTTTTCGGTTTTTGGGTCCGTACATCTTGTTACAAGAAAAAGATTTTAAAAAAAGGTAGGTGATTCTTCTCTTATTTTGGTTTTCCTCATGAGCTTCATTGTCTTTTAATAAGCCATGCATTACACATTAATTTTTAATTAAATGAGGGATCAGTTACTATCAATCATAATTGACAAAACAGTTACCACCAAATACAATTGGTTTATTTTATTACACACTATATATGATTCTTTATTAGTTAAACTCAACCATCTTTTTGTCACTAATTACACAATTTGAATAAAGAAATGGTGCAAACAAAAGAATAAAAACTGTGAAGCCATTAAGCAATGTACTTGATGGAAGGCCATACCCAACAATTAGGAAGCCGATACTGATACACCACCAATCTCAAAATTAGCACATAAATCTATATACTAGAAAATGCCCATGTGGCATTGTTTATTTGGGGTGATAAGTGATTTTAAAAAAAATTTAGGAGGCTCAACCCATTTGGTAAACTATGAAAAAATCACTTATTGTTAAAAATTGTTGTGAGAGAAAGCTATAAGGGAAAACAACTAATGAGGTGCTTTCATTTTCTGATTATGCAAGAATAGTTTCGAAGAGGCGATGGGTTAAATGATTATGTGGGAATTATTTTCCGATTATGTAGGAATCAATACCAACAACACTTTTAACACTTTTAACCAAATGCCAAACTGGTTTCTCTCACAGCAAATCTGACAACGATTATTTTCACAGCACAGTAATACCAAACTGCCATAAGAATTGAAATTATTACTTAAATGAGGATAATAGGGTAAATTCACACTTTTTCATATTTAAAAAAAAATAAAATTATAAGAAAAATCAGATAATGAATCTTATTTTTATGGAACACAACTACCTATTATCTTTTTTAATTCAAAAATAAATTTATTTATTTATTTTTATAAAAATCCTCTTGCAGGCACAGATTGCAGATATTAATACAAGTCTAGGAATTAGAATGATGGGAGAAATGAATCAAGCAGCTGGTGAAAAAGTGAAAACTGTAAACTGGATATATACAGTGGCAACAGTAAAACAGTAAACCCAGCTTCTCTGATTTTAAGCCCCGAATTGCTGGGCTTTACCCAATATCTGGCAATCACGTACTGGGCTTTACCCTGAAGTTGGAGAAAAGATGAGTTGCATCTTTAACTCCACCAACGACATGTCGTTCAAATTGTTGTTGCCAAAAATGGACAGCCAAACCGCAACGACATATCACATACTTCTCTCTGTACATCATCTTCTTCCGAGAACAGACTGGTTTGGCCAGCAAGAGAGCAACAGAAAATGAGACCCTCTTCCGCAACTCAAGCTCTCACTCTCTTCAGCTCTCTGCCCAAAACCTTAATCTTCAACGCAGAGCCTCAACCTTCATCTCTGCAACTCTCGAGACCCAAAAGATGGAAACTGATAGTGACGATGAGAGACAGAAGCAATAACCCGAGACCATTGCAGAAAGGGAGGCACCTGAGCATCGAAGCCATTCAGACCGTACAGGCCTTGAAGAGAGCCAAGAAAAACCAGAACTTTCTGGACCAAGCGTTCGATTCTAAGTTCAGGCGCTTGCTGAAGCTCGACATGATGGCTGTCCTTCGTGACCTCCTCCGGCAAAATGAGTGCTTCTTGGCCCTCAAGGTTTGGTCTTGCAGTCTTAATTTTATTAATTTTTGTTTTCAATTTGATTTTCCATGAGTTTATATTGAATATTGAATTGGGTTCTCTCCAATTTGAACCATCTGTGTGAATTTGATGCAAAAAAGCTTTCTTTTTCTTTCTGTTTTCAGTTTACACAGAATCCCAATAAATATTTGCTGCTAAGTTACATGGATATCTCATTTTGATTGTTACCCTTTTCTTCTTTGGTTGTGTTATAAAGATTGATTCAGTTTTCAATTTGTTGTTCTTGTCATTGCTTGTTACAGGTCTTCGAAGATATTCGAAAAGAACACTGGTATAGGCCGCAGGTTTCACTTTATGCTGATATGATTAAAGTAATGGCTAGCAATGAATTGTTTGAACAAGTTGAACTTCTTTGCTTGTCCTTGAAAAAGGAAACAAATTTACCGCCTGAACTTGAGGCCTTTAATGCTCTATTGACAACATTGATAAGTTTTAACATCCCTAAACTTGCAATGGAGTGCTATTACTTGATGAAAGAGGTGGGGTGTGAACCAGATAGGTCATCCTTTAGAATACTCATTAATGGTCTAGAATCCATGGGAGAGACAGGTCTTTCAGGTATTTTGAGGCAGGATGCTCAACAGTATTATGGTGAATCTCTGGAGTTTCTAGAGGAGAATGAAGAAATGGCAGTCAAGTGAGCCATTGATGACTTGCTGGATTTAGATCATATGACATTGTCTGTAAGGAAGTATGTATGAAACTCTAACCATAATGGATAAAATAGTATTGACTGCATCTGCCATGTGATTACAATTGCCCTATGAGTTCATTGTCATTTTGACAAAGCATCGTGGTTACTTTTCGGTAGAATATACTGATACACCCTTTAGACATAACCATTCTAAACTCTATTTTTCTTACATACCCATTTAACTCTCAAGTCTATTATCACTGAAATCTGTGTTTGACTGCTCAGTTTTATGATCTGTATAATGGATTATCCTACATTATCATTTCTTATTGTGCACACTAGAAGTGGTGCGATTGGTTTAGTTGCCTATGTTGGATATTTACATGTTAAAGCGAGTACTTCCTCAACTCGAGCAAGAAAACCTCTTTCAGTCGGGCACATATGTGTGTGTTGCATCACACTTGTTTGAATGCGTATGCCGGACAGTTTTGTTAGCCAAATGGAAGAGAATTTGTTATGATAACAGCAGCAGAGCACCAGTGACCAAACAAACAAAATCAAAGGAAGCTGCACAACACCCAAACACAATCTGGAAATCCTTCAAGTGTATCGAAGACCATGGCTGAGGTGGGCAGAAGTGCCAGATATCACAAACTTGTCTTACTAACTTCTCTAACAGAAAATGGGACTTGTGTAGGCTGATTACCAGTCTGTAAGTGTTTGCATTATGTAACTGACTCTAGCTTCACCATATAAGGATGAGATACCAATGTAATTCAGTGTATAAACACAAACTTCAATTAAAAATACAACTCTCTGAATGTTTTCTCTAAGATTTTCTCAGCCTTTCTCATATTTCTTTCATTTTACTGCTTATTTTCCTTTTCTTTCTGAATGATCTTCATTTTCACATGTGTATCTTCTGTTTCTCCAAAGACAAATAACACATAAAGCAAATATAGCCATTAAAGTCAGAATACAACGAAGGATGCAGTGGCATAACTTTAATTTTAAATAATTACATGTTCCATCAAATACTACACTTTCTAATCATCATATCATTAAGAAACAAAACTGGGACCTCGTATTCCCCTTTTTTCAACTTTCTTCTACAATTTTCTCTCTTCTTTTTGACCACAACCTAAACTTTGTAGGATAGCAGACAAATTGGAGTGATACAAGGACACATGACAATGAGTAAATGTGCAAGTTCTGTTTAAATCTTCAAAACTGATGAGATCAGGACTTAGAGGTTCCATTCAGACAGCCACATAGAAATGATAATCTTATAGCCAGAGCATTTCAAGTTCAAACTTACATGCTTCCCATGCTAGAACTGTTTCCCTTCAAATGTCTGATCAAATTGCCAGTTTGCTGGAGCAACATTATAAGATGTGAGTGTTCTTCCACTACTGATGGTTACCTCAAAGGAAAGAGGCTGCCCTTTAAGATTGACATTGCTTTGCCAGTTCTGTCCCCAGTTCCTGGCCATCGGAATCCAACCGGTTCTCGAACCCTTCACCTTGACAGCAAGTATTTCCCCATCTGAACCTACATTTGTAATCAAGACTTGGTAGAAGTGAGAACTTCCACTCATCATGAATCTCAGCCCCCCACTTCTCTCACACTTCACCCTGCACAAGAAAAAAATTCCAGAGAGATCTTTGCTTAGTGCAAGATATCAAAAACAGAACAAAGGAAAAAAAAATAAAACCAGATTTTTCTGTTACCTCCTATACTGAACTGGCACAATATCAGCTCTTTTCTTTGCAATTTCAGCGAATGCTGCCTCAGACATCTCAAAGTGTTCTCTAGGGAAATTGCACCAGCCGCCATAATCTTTTGAAAGCCCATAATTTGGAGGGCAGAAATCTGTAGCAGTGAGAGTAACAGAGGGGCTCCCTTGCAGGCACCACAAGATGTGGTCAACACATCTCAGCTCATAACAAGTCCCACAGGTACTCCCTTTGTTGAATAAAATGCCACTCAGCCCAGCACTGTGTTTTCCATAGCTGATCTTATGTAGGTCCCCATAACCACAAGCACCTTCTGCAACATAAACAAACAAAAAAACAAAAAAACACCTTGAAAAATGTAAAATATGGAGCAGCATTATGTTTATGCAATCAAAAAAACTTGAAAAGTTTGCAACTTTTTTACACCAGAAGCAAGAAGAATACCAGTAATAATAGACCCATCTGTTTCTTTGGAATATGTCGCAGTAGCAGTCTTCCATTTCTCATCTTGAGAAACAGCAATGTTGCTGCACCTGCATATATTCAAAAGAACCAAGTAGAGAACCAAGTAGAGAAGTGTAGCTTGAAGGGTTCCTCCCATTTGAGATGATGAGGCCTATCTATGAGAAGTGTGGTTTGTACTTGAAATGGGTTCCTTTTTCTTTTTATCCTTTTGATGCAAACTGGGTTGAAGAAGGGTGAAGAAAGCTCTCCTTTTTCTGTGCCTAAATTACCTCAATCTCCTTGCTGAGATGAAGCAAGGCATTGTGGTTAATTGCTGGACTAGAAACAAAGAAACTCTATGGGAAAAGATGGAACATTTTGACAAATAGCCTACAATGGTGTCCACAGTTCACATTGGGGGCACATTCTGCGAGGCCAAGATGAAGGGTGTATTGGTCTTTAGGCCTTGGACCCTATTCGCCATGGAAAAGATGGAAGCTTTAATTTCCTTTCTTTCTTTTTAGCGGGGAATGGAGACTCAAAAAGGGGCTTTGGCGCCTGCATTTGGCTATATTCAAGAGGTATTGATGGCAGACAAAGATACGGAAGGCCTTGAAATAAATAATTAAAAAGAAATAAAAACTAATTCCAAAGATCATTTAAACCTATTTTCTAGTTGAGAAGAAAGGGGTCTATCGGACCATGATTCTCGCAAAAATATATATTTTTACGAGTCATGGATAATATATGATATCTCACTGTGTGTGTTTATTTAAATATAAGAAATAGTCTAAACTACAAAGGAAATAAGGTTTTTCACACATACATTATCAAAGTGCCTTAATGGTGCGTTTAGATGAGAAAATTTAAAAATACAAAGAAATTTATAAATGATGGAATTTAAAATGACGGAGATTAATGTTATAGAATTTGTAAAATTTCTTGTTTGGGTGACGGATTTAAAATACATAATTTAATCTTTATTTGTAAAGTTATCTTTTTTAAAAACTCAATCTCTTTTGGAATTTGAAAAATGACAACTTTTAGATAGAATTTAAAGTTGAGATTTATAACCTCCAAATTTCACTTTTTTCCCACGCATAATTTCTAAATTTATATTTTTTTTTAATCCATACACGGGAATTGGTTCATGTCAATTTAGAAATTCTGACTTTTGTTAAAATCTCAAGTTTATTTCACTCATCCAAATACACTGTAAGAATTTAAACTTGAAATCACTCATCTACAAATCAAACTCTTTTTCCACTGTGTTTGCGCTATCTCAGTGTTAATACCAATGGTTGGTATTTGTGCACATTTTTTATCTATACACAAATTACTTTTAGAATGAAATTGCGTTTATTTATTTATTTTGGCACTTCTTTTGAGAAGGGAGACGACTGTAAACAAGAGATATTGATACCCAACAAATAAAATGGGCTGAAGTGCCTGCATCCTCATTTGCTAAGCCAGTCACTGCCAAAGCCCAACTCTTCTGGACTTCAAAGCTTAAACACCAAGGAAATTTTGAATGTCCAAGGTCCATAAAATTACTCACACTAAAATGCAAAATGGCCGACACACACGCAAAAGAAGTTTATAATTGAAGTGGACATTTACTTCACGAGTTGAAGTTAGACTTTTCCTCATACTTGGTTGCGGAAAGAAGTATCGCTGAATCAAGAGCTAGTTGATTTGAACATCCATTGAACTAAAATTTGGCAAGCACACACACTTGCACTCACTCACACATGAAAGAAAGAGTGGGTGGGGAAAGCAAAATTTTGGGTTTATAAAATGAAGATAATTATGTGAGGTTTTTGTTGCTTATATTCTTCCAAGTTACAACCTTGATGAGTATCACTCTCATACTATGATATCTTTCAAAGGAACAATGCAGCTGGCAGGGGTATTGCTTCCCTTATCCCGAATAAGGATCGAATTGTGACCGCCGTTGCCGCCGCTATTGGGATTGTTGCTGATGCTCTTACTAGCAGGGTGATAAAGATTGAATGTAGCTTGATCCAGTGTTCCTTCTCTGTAAACAAACACACTGTCATCTTCTTCCATTTTCCGCCACTTTCGGTTTTTGTCACTAATTCGACTGAGATCATGGAGCGGCATACCTCTGCATTGTATGAGGCACAAACAAAGTAGAATCAAACGGTCATTATTACGTTAAAATCCATCCAAATCCACAATGGAAATCTAATATTCTGCAGATTAAAAGAAAACATATAATATATTATCTTACATTTTATGCCAGTAAAGTCTGTAAAGATTCATCAACAAAGCTGATGGATACATCATATACAGACTACGTGAAGATTAATTAAATTTGCAATCTGCGTGGCATTTTGCATTTTATTTCTGACCTTTATTAAACTATTCAATTGTAAATTACTTTTCTACCCTACTTTCCAGAAATCTCAGTAGATGCCAAGCACAGATGGTTCAAACTTCACGCTAAAGAAAGAAAAATCAATCAAACAAACAAACAAAAAAGAGATTATTAACAGTATCATATTTTCTTTCAATGTGGGGTTGGGTTGGGTGTTATATCACTTTGAAACACGAGCATCCGATTAATTTGGTCAATATGATTATTAATCAAGAATCTTTTTTAGAATCATCTCGACTAAACATGCTTTGTATCGTATCCTTCTTATTTATGCGAGTCTCGCCTCTATTAAGGAGATGGTACAATACATAATCAGTTAAGATAGTAGAACACACGGACCAGTGTAACCTAGTTGCACCCTAATAACATTAATTGGGGTAATATGATTATTTGAATTAAAGACTGCAGTTGTGTATTTATGTCAACAATTCATATACAATTTGAAGTTACATGAACTACGTATTCTTCCTCTATTTTTAGAGGGACTTGGTCAAAAAAATGCCACATGTTTATGTTCCATACGAATATACTATTACAACTCGCTATTAACATTCCTCTGCCTAAACTCTTTTTTATTTTTTATTTATTTATTCATAAACTCAGTATTAAGAGTGTGAATTCGAACACATGAACTCGAGTGTAAATGCTCTTAAACATTCGAGCAACTACGGCACACAAATCAAATATAATATGTTTCAAAAGTCAAATCATAACTAGCAACATGGCAAAACGTATCATCACACAGTGCACAAAAACACAAACAAACGCAGCAAAAAATCAAAGGCCAAGTACCACAGCGGAAAACAAGGCAAAAATAAAATAAAATACACAAAAATCGGGAACAGTAAACAAAGAACCCGTACCTTACATGGAAGAGATCGGAAATGTCACACATCTCGAGGTAAAAGTTAACGGCGTCGATAAACGCCCGGTACGTGTAAATATGAAGCCCGTCGATTCTCGGGTACGGCAGCCTCGGCCTCGGAAACG